TGTGGGAAGTGTTGGGATCGCTCGGGAAGCACCAGAAACATGAAAGATACGTTCTGCGTTCCTCAGGCCCCAGAGAATCACCACCCAGTGTTAGACTTGGCAGAAGCCTTCCCGCTTCTCCTCTGAGCTGCCTCCTGAGAAAAGACACGCGGTCTGAATGCTAAATGCCCGCCCGCCCGCCAGCCGTGGCAGCCTGCTCCCGGGCCCTCTCCCACAGCCCATGGAGCTGGGAGCGGGACAGGTGTGCCCGGTGTAGGGTGATCTGGCAGGACCTTCCTGTATCCAAGGCGACACTTCCGGGCCCCTTTTCCAGGAGGGCCTGTTGTGAAACATCCTGGAATGTTTGTGTCCCTTCACAGGTTGGTAATTAAGCAGAGGCAGAACGAGTTCTCACTCGGCACCCTCTCTACCCTCCCTCCCTCTCGCCCTTCCAGCCTTTGGGTCATTTGATTTCATATTGGGGTTTTCTGCAGCCCAGGCCGTGGAGGCTGGAGCCTGGGATTGCACCGGCCTAGGGTGGGGTGATCACTTCATCACAGGGGGTGGGGGCAAGCCCCCCAAGTCCTGGCCACATCTGAAAGCTGACATCTCTTCCCAGCTCACATTCTTGGCGCTTGCCCAAAGGGAAACATTATAAACCAGAGAAGTACCCGCAGTTTCCCAGGGGGCACTGGTTTAAACAGTTCCTCCCTGGCAGTAATGGGTGTGTGTGTGTGTGTGTGTGTGTGTGTGTGTGTGTGTGTGCGTGCGTGCACATGCACGTGTGTATACGTATGTGTGTTTAAATCCCCGTGCAGCTAAAATCGCTTCTCTTCATCCTGTCTGAACGGCACGTCTCTGCACACTGAATAATTCATCTCCCTCTTGGCGTTTGTTCCTGAGAGGTTCTCGCTGTCCAGGTTTCTTGTTAAGTTGCATAGTCTCCCAATGGAAGAGCTCTGGGCGGCCGGATATCAGCCCCCTGGCTTCCCCCATGGTCCCTTTGAAGGGAACCCTGAATATCAAACCAAAGCTGTCCTTTCTCCTCCTGCCCTCCCCTTCTAACTTTGGGTCCTCTTTATTCACTTTATTATTGTTATTTTTTTTTAGCCCTCTTAGGCACAATGTCTACATTTGCTGCAAGTTGGACTCAGCATCTCCCCCTCATCCACATGTCGGTCACATTAGTGATGCTTGCAGCCAACATTATTTCAGCTCTGACTTCTCAGTGGCCGAGGCTGGGACAGTCCGTGGGTCATGTTTTGCTGGAAAAATGATTGCATTGTTGATGCTTCCCTCGGCCTCTCCCCGCTCCTCGTGTCACACACAGAGAGCTCAGTGAATCACTTGTGTCGATGACTTTGAAACACTTAGCTGCCTTTTCATTAAGCAGCGTGTGTTACCCACGTGTACTGAATATGCTCCTAGGAAGGCGTAGAAGCTGAAGGTGCAAGTGGGCCAGAGCTCCGTGCCTGGGGCCTGCTGCAGGCTTCCCTGTGGTCCCACTTGGTCCTCTGTATCTCTGGCGGAGCTGACGCTGCATTCCAGATTGTTCTGAGACTCACAGGGTCTCGTGAATTTTTGTTAGCAAAGCCTAGGTTTGGGAATCAGGCAGTACTTCAGGTTATACTGCAGGATGGCCCAACTCTGTGATGTAGCTGTGATGATGCTCTCCAGAGAGGAAACATGTTGTATATGATTTGCTTTCTAGGCCTAGATTTAGCCATTAATAAGTATTTTAATTATGATTAACAAGTGAACATTACAGAAAAATTAATTTTAAAAAGGATAAAAAACTTAAATTTCGCCCTAACTGGTTTGGCTCAGTGGATAGAGCATCGGCCTGCAGACTCAAGGGTCCCAGGTTCGATTCCAGTCAAGGGCATGTACCTTGGTTGCAGGCACATCCCCAGTGGGGGTGGTGCTGGAGGCAGCTGGTCGATGTTTCTCTCTCATCAATGTTTCTAACTCTCTATCCCTCTCCCTTCCTCTCCGTAAAAAATCAATAAAATATATTTTAAAAAAAACACTTAAATTTCATTGAAATCTCTGTACCGAGATAACCTTTTAATGTCTATCTTTCTAATTTTTCTTCTACACACATACACACACAGACACACACACTTTTTCGGGCAAAATATACATAATAGTATCCTGTATATCTTCTCTTTCAACAGTTTTCTTTCGTATAGCATCCTTCCATTTTAGCAAAATATAGAATACATTGTTATTTTTGTTCCTACATATACATGATCGTATGCACTTCAGATACTTATTGAGAGCGAATTGTGGGGGACACAGGGCTCCTACAGATACTTATTGAGAGCGAACTGTGAGGGACACAGGGTTCTCTTGCTCAGGTGCACCATTGATGACATTATTTCATCAATTCCCAGCGAGGAATTTTGAAAGGTGATAATCCTCACACATATTCTGGGCAGCGGTCGGGAAGGGACATAGCCTCTTGGTTTTCTGGGTTGCAAACTGGTTGTATAATAAGATTTATATCTCCACAGCCAGGCTGGGGGAGTGCAGGGCGAGGAATGAGCCCGAAGGAAAGGTCTGAGTGTGGTTGGTGCGAGCATGCCTATTCCCTCACAGCTTACCTGTCCTCAGTGATGGAGTAGCTCACCGTGTATGCCTTGGGGGAGAGTTCCTTCAGGGACCCTTTCAAAGATTTGTTGGATGAAATGACGTGGGATGAGCTTTGGCTCTTGGGCATTGGTTCATTCTCCATAAGGAAGAGGGGGCAAACACTGAGAGATGTTGGAGTGGGGGAGACACTGCTGGAAGTGGCCTTCTGTTTCTGAAATCTGAGCAGAGTATGGGGTGGGGCTGGGTGGGCTGCAGGCAGCCTCGCAGGAACTTTACCCAGACCAGCACAGGGGTCCCCAGAGGGAGTGAGTGAGCAAAGAGCGTTTTTAGCTGAAGAAAGGCCCCATCCATCACCTGTGTGATTTGCCTTGGGGCTCAGGAGATGCATTGAAGATGTCAGCTTTCAAGAGGACCTTTTAGCTCACCGCAGGGGCTCTGGCGATACATTGCCTTGCTTGAAATCCCAGCTTGGTCTTTGACACTGAGAATATTATTTAGTCTTTCTTAGCCTCAGTTTCCCTGTGTGGGGAATGGGGATAATAGTAACTAATGTTTTTTTGTGCACTCATTTGTAGCGGGATCTGTGCTAAATGTTCTTATAAGCATGGCCTTATTTAAGCCAACCGACACCCGGGAGAATGATTATTGTCCCCACTTCACAGATGAATATACTGAGTCTCAGAGAGGTTAAGTTGCCAGACTCACACAGCTAATGGAAATGATGCTTATTGAACCCTCATTTAATGGTGATTAGCCTGTTGCATGTCATATATACCTCTGGCCTCATCCTCATTGTCTCCTACAATAGAGCAGTAAATTTCCAACTAACAGGACTTTTGAGTCAGAGTGCCAGGAATTCGGTCAATCGGTATTTGTACAGCCTACCAGACCGTGGATATGCAGAGCTCATAAATGCACCAGGTCTCTCCACCAGGGACCCTTCAGCCTTTCTTTCCCCCAGGTATTTTGCTTCAAGTTTGATTTAGAAGGAGATTGCACAGGATAAGAGAGAGGGTGGATTCCTTTGGCTTGAAGGGAAGTTCTTTAAAAAACAACAACAAAAACCACAAAGTTTTTATTGATTTTAGAGAGAGAGAATCATCAATGTGACAGAGAAACATCAATTGGCTGCCTTCTGCATGCCCCCTACTGGGTATCAAACCTGCATCTCAGGCATGTGCCCTGACCCCGAATCAAACCTGCGCCTTTTTGGTGCATGGGACAAGGCTCAACCGACTGAGCCACCCAAGCCAGGGCTTGGAGGGAAGTTCTTGATCAGGATCGTAGACCTCATCGCAGTCATCCTGTGACAGAGAAACACCAATTGGCTGCCTCCTGCATGCCCCCTACTGGGTATCAAACCTGCATCTCAGGCATGTGCCCTGACCCCGAATCAAACCTGCGCCTTTTTGGTGCATGGGACAAGGCTCAACCAACTGAGCCACCCAAGCCAGGGCTTGGAGGGAAGTTCTTGATCAGGATCGTAGACCTCATCGCAGTCATCTTTCTTCCTGTCCCATTGGACCTCAGTTTGCCAGTCTGCAGAAAGACCGGTGAAGCAGTCTCTGGGAGTCTGTAACTGGGAGTGGGTTGGGAGCAGACAGGAGAGGGAGGAGATGAGAATATGTATTTTAGGCAAAGGCAGCAACTGTAGAAACCCAGGAGCTGTCTGGAGGGGCCACTCAGGCGGACGGGTATGTCTAGATTCCTGGCACTCGGACTGTAATACTTGACTGGCAGTTTGTGGTGTCTTTGTTCCTTTAGTTGGGTGAGTTGCATGTCTGTCTGACTTAGCCACAAGACCGAGTGATTACTGCCACTTCACTCTTGGCAGAACGGGGACTTAGTGGGTGGTTATTGTTAAAAGATCAGTTGGGGCTGGATTGTCTCGGGAAGGACAGCAGTGGGCACAGGCATTTGGGAACCAGCTCAGGAGGCAAGAAATACGGCTCTTGGCCAAACTCACAGGGCGGGGGCATCTGCTATTCTAGATGCTGCAGTAAGTCAGGTTTCCAGAGGGGAAGTGGGCATGACACCGTGCCATAGAGCTGGGAGGAAGACTGGGGGTGGGACGGGCGAGGGAGTTGCAGGCAGAGAAGCCAGAGAGGGCTGGAGTCCAAGTCCAAAAGCAAGCCTTGACCTTCGAGCCCTTTCCTGCAAACCCTTCGGGTCGAGGTGCAGAACTGGAGGCCCAGAAAAGGAAGGTGACCTGCTCATATGTCTCCCTAGTTAGTGACCAGTTGGAGCTGGGACACAGATTCCCTAGCTCCTTCCATGTGTTCACCTTCCCGGGACAACAGGGACGGATCTGGTGTCGTTGCTAGGTTTTGGGATCTGTTGGGCCAGTGCCGAGTAGCATGGAGGCCAAGAGTTGCAGGGTTGTGGGGACCATAGGCTGATGGAGTCTTTCTCCTCTTCCTCCCCAGGTACACCAAACCGCTCACCTTCGCCGACTGCATTAGCGATGAGCTGCCTCTAGGATGGGAAGAGGCGTATGACCCACAGGTTGGAGATTACTTCATAGACCACAACACCAGTAAGTTCCTGGCCATCCTCCCTTCCTCCTCCCCTCTCCCCGACCCTCTACCTCCACGCTCACCTCCTAAGTCTGGAAGAGGCTCTTGAAGCCAAATTGTATTTTGTGGGTTTTTTTTTTCTTTTTTAAAAATATATCTTTATTGATTTAAGAGAGGAAAGGAGAGGGAGAGAGAGATAAAAACATCAATGATGAAAGAGAGTCATTGATTGGCTGCCTCCTGCACGACTGGGGATCAAGCCCACAACCCAGGCATGTGCCCTGACTGGGAATTGAACCATAACTTCCTGGTTCACAGGTCGATGCCCAACCACTGAGCTGTATTTTGTTTTATGTACAGTTAGGTAGAGATGTCAGCGTGGGTATAGATAGATAATGTATGCTCATATAAAATAACAGTTTAGAAGGGTTTTAAGTAGAATCTGAAACTCCCCCTCTCATAAATCATCTCCTCAATTCTACAGAGGCAGCCACTGCTGACAATGTTGTGTGTATCGTTCCAGAAATTTCCCAATTGTGTGTTTATGTGTATATACATACTAGAGGCCCGATGCATGAAATTTGTGCACGAGTAGGCCTTCCTTCCCCCAGCTACCGGCACCAGCTTCTCTCTGGCACCCAGGACCCGGGCTTCCCTCGCAGCCCTGGCTTTGTTCGGAAGGTCGTCCGGAAGGACGTCTGGTCTAATTAACATATTACGCTTTTATTATTATAGATATGTCATTTTTCTACATATATCAACCTATGTGCATACAGACCTTCTTTTCCTCATAAAGGTAGATGTGTCATTGCCAGATCATTTTGGAGCAGCCAGAGCCCCAGCAAGCCCCCAGCAGTGTGCACACATAGGTGTTCATAGGGGTGTGGTGTGAGTGTGTGTGTCTCTAGCCCATCATACAAATCAGCCCACCCTCACTTCCTGTCTGTGATCCAGGTATCCTGATGCAGATGAAGATTTCTGGTGTCTTTGTCTCTGGGACTATGATGGAGGAATAGGCTGAGAAAGGGAGAAGCATGCTGCCTGACAGGTGGAGTAGCCCTGGTTGTAGTCCCTGAGCCAGGAGAATCAAGTGTGCTTGGGCTTCATCCATTGTGCACCTTCTTGGCCAGGAGTATTCCTGCCTTCTGAAATTTGCTGCCCCATTTATTCATGTGAGGAAAGAGGATTTTCTGGCTCGCTCTCAACCTTGCGAATTGGAGAATTTCCTTGATCCTTTCAGGCAAAAGGAGAATGGAATGAAGTGGGACATGCCTGGCAAAGCTTGAAGGCTGAGAATAGGGCAGCAAATTCTAGCCCATGTACTGAGCGTACACTCTGTGCCAATGCTGGGCAAGGCACTAGCTAGGCAGCATCCCATTTAATCCTCCCAACTACCCTGTGGGGTGTTAGGATGATTATCCCCATCTTAAAAATGGGACTTAGAGGTAGTAATCCATCGCTGAATACTCAGAGCTAAAACATGGCAGAGCTGGGATTTGAACCGCTGCTGGGGAGCAGAGGGGTGCTTGTCCATCCACTTCCTCTGGGTTTCAGTAGCACCTGGCCATACCTTTGTCGTGCCCCTCATCACCCTGTAGCATAGCCACTTACCTAGTGTTGCAGGTTCTCCTAGATAAGGCACGTAGTGAGTAGAAAAGGGCATACGTGCCTGAGTGCGTGACGAAAGGATGAATGAGCGGACCGCTCCTGGCACCGAAGGGTAGAAGAGTTTCTGAGAGACAGCTAATGACATTAATTGCATTGTTGGGGGTAGCAGAGCTCTTTATTAATGCTCATGATTGCATACTGGATAATGAGAAGTAAATATGCCTAATTGGGTGTGCATGGGGAATGAGGTTAATGCTGGGAGGGCTGCGTGGCGTGCTGGGTTAAACACTGATGCGCAGGAGCCCTCATCAGGCCTTTCCTGTTTCTAATTGCTGAGTGCATCCCCTCATTAAAATCTGATGGCAGGAGTGGGATTTTAAGGTGCTTCTGGGAGACATTGGAAAAAGGAAGGAAGGAAGGAGTAGCAGGCCGTGGCAGAGTTTATTCTTGAGGGGATGATGGCAGATATGAGGTGGGTGTATGGGGGGATGGGAGTACATAGGGGCCAGAGTGGGGAGAATTCTCTATGGTAGTTTTACCAGCTATCAGGCTACTGGTTTCCTTTTGGTGTGAAGGTGCTCTCATTGGATAGAGGGCACCACCTCTGTAGATGGAGCCCGTGATGCCAGTGGCATGAATATGACCATCGAGGCCCAAGCATTCAGAGCCGTGGACTCTGAGATCATTGACTGAAATTGCTCTCTTAAGAGTTATAGACACGTTAGAATTGAACAACCAATTACATCTACCACCCGACATTCATTCATTCAGCAAGTATTCACCTACCACCTGCAATGTTCCAGGCTCTGTCCTGGGAGCTTGAGACACATAAGAGTCCCTGGCAATGATCCTTGCCCTTGTAGAGCTTTCATTTCAGCAAAAGAGAAAATAAACAGAATAAATAAGCAGATTAGGTAATGTACTAGACAATTATCAGCATTATGGGAAAAAGAAAGCAGAGCGTGGGGCTAATGGACTGGGTGTGTTTGAGGATGACGGGGCAAGGACAGGGAAGGACTTGTTGAGAAAATGAGAAGTGAGCTAAGACTTTAAGGAGTGAGGGAGCATTTCAAGTAGAGCATAGAGCAAAAACTAAGGTGCAGTCACATTTAGGGATGGCAAGGAGGCAGAATGAGTGAGGGAAAGGGGGAAGGGCATCAGACCAGAGATAGATGGGGCGGTGGTCCATTTGCCTTACTCTTCTGGCTTTTACTCCCATGTGAGATGGGAGCCATTGGAGAGTTTCCAGCAGATGAGTGGCAAGTTCTGCTCTATGTCTTAAAAGGGTCACTCTGGCTGCTGTGCTACCAATAGACCTTTGTGGGTAAGGACAGAGCAGGGAGACCCTGTGAGAGACAATTGCAGCAGTCCAGGTGACAGAGGACAGAGTCCCAGAGCAGAGCCATAGCCGTGGAGGTGGTGAAAAGTGTCCAGATGCTGGATGAATGAATGTTCAAGGCAGAACCCACAGGACTTCCTGATAGATAGCATATGGGATGAGGAAGAAAGAGGAATGAGTGACTCTCATTGGACCTCAGCAACTGGCCCCATGGAGTTGCCATCAATGGGATGGAGAAAACTGCAGGAGGAGTGGGTTTAGGAAGGAGGAACAAGGGTTCTTTGGGGCATGTTGAGTCTTCCATGCCTCTTACACGTCTGAGAAATGATGCTGGCCAGCTTGCTGTAGGAATCTGGAGCTTGGAAAGAGATCGGGGCTGAAGATACGTGCACTGGAGTTGTTGGCTATAAATAGTATTTGCAAGACATGAAGCCAGATGAGATTACCAAAGGGAAATATCAAGACTGAAAAAGACCAAGGAATGAGCCATGGGGTCCTCAGACAGTAAGAGGGTGCGGAAAAGAGGAAAACAAGTGATTCTGAGGAGTGACCAGAAAGGTTTGAGGAAACCCGAGGGTCTGGGCAGCCACGGGAAGGAAGTGTATCAAGGCGGGGGGTTGTCAGCCCTGTCAGGTCAACTATGAAGAGGCCTCAGAGTTGACCACTAGCTTTAGTAACCCAGGAGACACTGGTGACCCTGACTGTGGAGGGCAGCTTTGGACAAGGACTTGGGGGCAAAAGTCGTGAGTCTGGGAAGAAAATGGAGGAGAGGAACTAGAAACAGCACATACAGACAGTTCTTTTTCCAAATTATCACCCATTCTCGCCCTAGCTGGTTTGGCTCAGTAGATAGAGCGTCAGCCCTCGGACTAAAGGGTCCTGGGTTCCATTCCAGTCAAGGGCACATACCTCGGTCGCAGGCCCGGTTCCCGGCCCTGGTCAGGGCGAGTGTGGGAGGCAACCAATTGATCTGTCTCTCTCACATCAGTGTTTCTCTGTCTCTCCCCTTCCCTTCCACTCTCTAAAAATCAATGGGAAAAAAATATCCTCTGGTGAGGATTAACAAAAGAACAAAAACCAAATTATAACCCATTCTCATTATTTCATATGTCAGTATTCCCATTTACATTCATCACGGTTAGAGGGTTTTGATTGGCGATCACATCATGTGTTCTGCGAAGCAATGTATGTATAACAAAACCAATTTTATTGTAGGCTAATGATATACAGGAGTTAAGTTCCTAGGGCTGCTCTTCAGCATTACGTGAAATGACAGGGAACGAAAAGACGTGATTTGAGGACCTGCTGCACGTGTCCTGGGACAGGGTTGAGGCTTTGATTCTGTTTTTTGAAGCTCCTCAGCTGATTCTCATATGCTGCGGGGACTCAGAATTACTGGATGAAGCACCAACTTTTTTTTTTTTAATAATAATTTATTCTTGAAAGTATTACATATGTCCCCCTTTTCCCCCCATTGACCCCCTCCAGCCCGCTCAACTTCTTTTTTTTTTTTCCAGCAATTTTGCTGAGAATTGGAGGTAGGGGGGAAGGCACTCTCATGGGCTTTTTGTGAGAATAAAAATTGGTACAACCTTTTGAAGGTAATTTGGTACTATTACTATTGTAAATGTGTTTATTCTCTGAGCCAGTAGTTCCTCTTTTAGGAACTCTATCCTACACAATTAATAGACAAGTTCCCAGAAGTATGTTTGTAAGAATCCTCACTGCAGCATTGACTGTGGTAGCAAAAGAATTGAGAACAATTCAGAAGTTTCCCATGAGTGGTCTGGGGAACCACTAGTACCCTACCGTAAAGAAACCTAATACCATACCATGGAATACTGTGCTGTCCTTTAAACAATTGAGGTAAGTGAAAAACATAAGCAGTAATACAACTAAAAAAATTATTAAAAATTGAGGTTAATCTTTATACACTTACTAGGAAGGGTGAAAAGCTTGCAGACCAATATATATGATGCAGGACCACGTTGCATTAAAAATAAGTTTGTGGCCCCAGCTGGTTTGGCTGAGTGATAGAGCGTTGGCCTGCGGACTGAAGGGTCCTGGGTTCCATTCGGGTCAAGGGCACATGCCCGGTTATGGGATCCCCAGTAGGGGTGTGCAGGAGGTATTCTCTCTCATCATTGATATTTCTCCCTCTCCCTTCCTCTCTGAAATCAAGAAAAACATATTTAAACAAAAAACAAATAAGTTTGTGTATAGATACACATATATAAAAACAAATTTGTAGATAAGTAGGGGACAATATCTGCAAGTGTGTGAGCTCTTAACAGCAGTTACCTCTGGGGAATAGGATTAGAGAGACGGGAACTCTCACTTCTTATTTTATAAATTTGCAATTGAGGGAATTATTGATCAAAGGGTTAACATTTCCTATGTTTTATTTTTTAGTATATTTTCAAAAAATATAAATTTTAAAAAGTTACAAACTTTAAAAACAATATTCAGCCTGATCCTGACAGGCCAAGTTTCCTTTGAAAAGTAATAGAGTTCTTTGGGCGAAGTAAAACCGGTCTGCAGGCTGGGTTCACCACCTGGCCATGATTATAGAATTTCTGGTGTGTCAGTCACCTCTGACTCCACCCCCCAACTGGAAAATGACGGAGGAGTGGATTGCCAATGGGCATTGGCTCTTTGACATTGCTTTGACCTCTTCTACATCTGTTCAGCTGCCAGCTATCCCTTTTTATTTTTTTAATTAATGGCTTTTAGTCAAATTGCCACTGTACATATTTATTGTATACATAACTAAAAAAATAAATGAAATCACTGTTGATAATTTGTTAAGTGTCCTCTTAATATTTTGGAGAATGTCCATATTTATTTTGATAAACATAGAATTATTTATGAAGTTTGTACACTGTATTGTCACTCACTTTTATATCATAAGCACCTTTCCATTTTATTAATTTTTTTCAAGGACATTTTTTTTAAATGGCTGTATTAGTGTATCATGTAAATATAACATACTTATTTGAGCATTTATTTTCTGTTTGACCTTGAGCAAGTTACTTAACCTCTCTCTGTTTTCTCTTTTGTATGATGAGGGCAGTAATAGAATCCCCTTTATAGAGGTAGTGTAAGGATTGAACGAGTAAATAGATATAAAGTAATTAGGATAGTGCTTGGTATAGAATAAATATCAAATAAGTGCTTGTTGTTTATTTTTGATATTATCATGGTTTTGTACAAAAGCATCTTTGCTTTAATTTCTTATATTACTTATTATTATAATGAGTTACTATAAGGGGAATTATTGGTCAAAGGGTTAACATTTTAAGGCTCTTAATGTACATGGTCAGATAGCCCTCTAGTTAAGGCTCTTCTATGTTACATTTCTGGTAGAGTATGGGGGTTCCTATTTCTTCATATCCTCTGAAGTATTATTTATTTTGCTTTACTTTGCTCTTTACCAAAACAGACGACCTTAAGCATCTGTAATGTCCTTGAGCCTCTGCCTAGATTAGAACTCAATTCTGGTCTTTCTCCTAGCCATGCTCAGACAGATTGACTTTGGGTTTGGAAATTGATCCTGGTTTATTTTGTGTTTGTTTGCTTCAAAGTGAAGAGCCTTTGTTGAATAACAGGTAAGTAAGTTTAACCCATTCACATTTATTGTGGTTTGCTATTCATTATGCTTCTTGTTTTCTGGTAGTGGATGCCACAGGCCACCAACCCAACAGATACTTGTGAGGTGCTGACCTAGAGTCTCTGGGGTCTGTTCCAGAAACCACTCAGATCGAGGACCCCCGGGTGCAATGGCGGCGGGAGCAGGAGCACATGCTGAAGGATTACCTGGTGGTGGCCCAGGAGGCCCTGAGTGCACAGAAGGAGATCTACCAGGTGAAGCGGCAGCGTCTGGAGCTTGCACAGCAGGAGTATCAGCAGCTGCATGCCGTCTGGGAGCACAAGCTGGGCTCCCAGGTCAGCTGTGAGTACCCCCCACCCCCCGCCCGGCACCACCACCACCAGGGCCACCCTCCACCACCACAAAGGGGGGAGGGAATGGCTGCCCCAAGTCCTGCCTGTACTGCCTTGCAGATCTGCCCACTTTCCTCTTTCTCCACTCCTTGTGCCAACCATCTCTTCCTGTGCCCTGCCGTGATTCATTTGCCATTTTCCTTCCATTTTCTGTCATTCGTCATCATCTCAGAATGCCAGCCAGGTTACATTATCTCCTTATTTACAACCCTTCAGTTGCTGGAGAAGTGGTGGATGGAGAGTTAGTGTTTAATGGCTCTGGAGTTTAAGATTGGGAAGATGAAAAAGTTCTGGAGATGGATGGTGGTGATGCTTGGACAATATGAATGTACACTTAAAGGTGGTTAAAGTGGTAAATTTTATGTTAAATATATATTTTACCACTTTCTAAAAATATATATGTTTTTATTGATTTGAGAGATGGAGAGATAGAGAAAAATATTGATGACAGAGAAACATTCATCCGCTGTCTCCTGCACGCCCCCTACTGGGAATCAAACTGACAACCTCTTGGTGCCTGGGACAACTAAGCCACATCAGCCAGGGCTATTTTACTACAATTAAAAAAAAAAAAATCTTCAGTGACTTCTCATTGCTCTTTTCATGGCCCCTGCCATCCATGCCCACCCCATCTCATGCTGTCAGTCATTAGGCTCACCCTCTGCTCCGGTAGTCTGCCCTGCAACTTTTCCCCTCGTCCTTGCTGTTCCCCGGCTTAGAATATTTTTCTGTTGATCCTTTTGCACAACTGGTTCCTTCTCATCCTTCCAGTTTTATCCTTCATTGCCTCTGAGAGGCTTACTGTAACAACTCCCCTCCCCGAAGTTAGCCTCAGTAATGCTCTTTGTTTATTTCTTCATCGCATGTATCACAATATATCTGCTTATTTGTCTGTCTGCATTTCCGTATTTGCCTGCCAGGGTTTTTCAACCTTAATACTACTGACATTTTGGGCCAGATAAGTCTTCCTCGTAGGGGCCTATATATTGTGCACCTTTAGCAGCATCCCTGGTCTCTACCCACTAGATGCCAGAAGTAACCCCCACCCCAAGTTGTGACAGCTAAACATGTCTCCAGACGTTGCCAAATGTGTCCTCTGGGGCAAAATTCTCCCAGCTGAAAACCACTGGTCTAGGTAACATGATTACCTTAGAACATCTTAATGGCTGAATAAATATTTTTTTTGGTTGAAAACACTTTCCATAATGTCTTGAGAGTATGGACTCTGGAGCTGGACTGCCCAGGTCCAAATCCAGGATATGCAACTTACTAGCTGTGTGACCTCACACAAGTTATGCCACTTCCCTCTGCCTCAGATTCTTCACGTGTAAGTGGACATAATAACAGTATCACCTTTAGCTATGGGGCTGAAAGTAGTTAACAACAGTAAAGTGCTTGGAATAGTACCTGTCGTATTCTTAAGCTCTCATATAATCACAGTTATTATTTGATATTATTAATTCATTGACATGACAAAAATTTTGAACAGATGCTTGGAACCAGTAAGATTGAACTCATGATCATTGGTAGGAAGTTAATGATGCAGTCCTATCATGTGACTTCCGGGTGTTCCCAAGAGCACCATCAGGCTCAAAGACACCACTGTTTTGAATGTTAAAGAACTTCAACCTGGCCCTTGCCGGTGTTTCTCAGTGGTTAGACCACTGGCCCTTGAACCAAAAGATTGTGGGTTTGATTCTAGGAAACGTGGGTTGCATTGGAGAGACAACTAATTCATGTGGCTCTCTCACATCGATGTTTCTCTCTCTCCCTCCCTCCTCCCTCCCTCACCCCCCCTCCACTCTCTCTTAACACAAATGGAAAAAATATCCTCCAATGAGGATTCACACACACACACACACACACACACAGAACTTATATTTGAAGGGACTAGGGTCATCTCAGGTAACCTGATGTGAGATCCAAACCAGCCAGGAACTGGGGCATCCCCCAGCCCAAGCGTCCCCAGTTAGAGAGAGGTGGCCCAAGCCTCCTCATGACTGTCTTTGGGTTTTACAATCCAGGTTTGCCTTCTAAGTCCAGCTCTTGAGCACGTCGATAGACCGGTGAGGCCACATGCCTGGCTTCTAACGCAGATGGCATGCCAGGGCCTGTGAGAGTTTTGCCACCTGCGCTTGGTTGTTGTGGGCCCTGCCCTGGGGATGGAGACTTTGTTGTCACTCCTGCTACAATCCCTAGCTTGATGGAGAAGGAGACGAGAACTACCATTTAGTGTGTACCTGTTCTATTCCTGCAGGGCAGTGTGCTGGGGGCACTCTACATGTGTCATTTAAAGTAACCTCCCTCCCCACTTGCACACACACATAGACACGTACAGTCGTGCAAGATGCTGCTGTTCTCATGCTACAGGTAAAGAAACTGAGGCCCAGAAAAGGGAAGTCATTTCCTCCTGGTCACATTGGTAAAAAGGGATAGAGCTAGCCTTCATACCCGGGAGCATCTGACCTCAAAACCAGTTCTCTTCATTTAATGCACATCAGCCAGTCAGCTTCCAAGGTTCTTGCATTACACTGGGGTCCTCCCGTCCCCTGAAAGGTGAGAACTTAGAAGAGCTGGGTTCTTTTGGACCTCACCGTGTTCCTTCCTCACTACAGGTTAGAGGAAATTGGAAAAATAAATTATTGGGAGCCTTACAGTTAAAAATGCCAGTTGAACTACCCACCTGATTTCACTGACTCCTGAAACTAGGAAAAGATTAGAAAAAGATCTTTAAAAGCATACACACGTAGGGACAAGGAGACTTGGAGAACAAAGTAGCAATACAAGGTTTGGCCAAAGTAAATTTACAGTTGTATGTGAAAAACTGAATTTATTCTTATGTTATTACTTATGAATTATTTTCTATATAAGCAACTATAAACCTACTTCTGCCCACCCTGTATAATGTGGAAGCTGGAAGGCAGAGGGACAGGTGACAACCTATCTGGTAGACAGACCTATCTGAGAAAAGAAAAAAATGGGCTGGTAATGGAAACAACAACACTATAATCTGTAAAGAACACCTACAGTCCTAGCTGGTCTGGCTCAATGGATAGAGCATCGGCCTGCAGACTGAATGGTCCCAGGTTCGATTCTGGTCAACGGCACATGCCTGGGTTGTGGGCCCGATCCTCAGTAGGGGGTGTGCAGGAGGCAGCCAATCAATGATTCTCATTATTGATGTTTCTATCTCTCTCTCCCTCTCCCTTCCTCTGTGGAATCAATAAAAAATATATTTAAAAAACACCTGCAGAAGACTTGTGAATTAGGAGAAGCACCTATTTCTGGGAGTGGAATTGGGAATGAAGTGAGGAGGGTCTCAAGTAAGAGGATTGGATGAAAGTTGCTTCTGAAACAGACCACCTGATCTCCTCCCCAAATTGGTAACTGCCCAGCCCCAAACTGCAAAAGACGGGAGGTTTATTTTTTGGAGAGAACAAAAGAGAGTTTGGACTGCAGGACACAAGGCAGGTTCACCGCGGGGCTGCACCAGACTGAACATGTGGTGATTAAGGGAACGTCGACAGGCAGGATTTTGAGACCCCAGCCCCCAGGTATCGCTCGGTTCCCAGACTGGTGCCAGGCTATTGCCCCCCCAGGCTGGACAGTAGAAGAGTCTGGGGAAAGCTGAACAGAGAAAAGAGATAAAAAGAGAAAAGATGTAAAGATACTGACATTGAGGATTCCTGGATGAAGCAGTACAGCCAAATCACGTACCCCGTCACCCAGTCAACAAGCTCCAATCCAGCCAGCTTTTAGGGCCCCCATCCTTAGATGTGAGCCGGCAGCTGAGATCCAGATGCCCGAGGAAAGCCTCGAATAGGAAAAATAAGAGATTAAAACAAACACATGGCGATGGGAAGGCCTTGGAGGGAACAGGGAGTGTGCATGGAGAAGAAAACTACACAACCATGAAACACGAACAGGATGCTGCATTTTATAAAAGGGACCCACAGAGAACACAAAGGAGCCTTTGGCAATTAAAATACTTTGGAAGAAATGAAAGTATCTGAAGGAAGGCTAGAAAGTAAAATGGAGGAACTCTTCTGAAAAGCAAAACGAAAAAACAATGAGATGAAAAATAAGGGAACAATATAAAGCACCAGGCCAGGAAAACTGAGTAATAGAAGTTCAGAAAGAGCAGAGGAAATGGGGAAAGAAGCATCAATGAAATTATTCAGAACAAGTTCTCAGAACAAATGGAGGAGAGTTTTTAGATTGAAAGGGTTCAGGGAGTGCCCAACACAACGGATCAAAGTCAACCACACCAAGTCATACCATTGTGCAACTTAAACACTGGGAACGATTCAAGATCCTAAAAGTTTTCCAAGAGAAAACCAGGTCCTAGAAAAATGATTAGGACTCAGAATAGCTCTGGGCTTCTGAATGGATGGTGACCCTGGAAACCTAAAAGACGATAGAGCAATGCCTTGAAAAATTTAAGGACAGTCATTTCCGACCTAGAATTTTATATCCAGCAAAACTACTTATAAACTAGTGTAGGAGAGAATGAAGGTATTTTTAGAGATGCAAGATTTCAAAAAATTTACTTCCTTCTCATTTTGGTGTCCTGCCAAAATGAGGGGCTAGGCCCCAGAGGGGAAGGCATGGTATTTAGGAAAGAAGAGAGTGGCAAGGAGGGGATCCCAGGATGCCAACTGTGCACGGAGAGCAAGCAGCTCACTCTGAAGCCGGCACATGCCTTGGCAAGACAGAGCTAAAAAGAAGAATGGGGTGTACTGGCCTGGACTCTGTGAGGAGATTTAGATAACTGGCAGAGTGTGAGGTTGAACCAGTGATAAGTTTGTAGGCAGTCATAAAAATGACAATTATTAACTCTAGAAAAAATAAATGTGCCGGAAAGAAAAAGTGAGCATCGTCGGCTACGTGCTTCTGCCCCGAATAGTGTTTGCAGAGTAAAAGTAATGCAAACACTGAAGCTTGCTTCCACCCAAACGATGTGTGGTATAGGGGCTGCGAAAGGGAGGAACCTAAGCCTCTATCCTCCAGAGCAGGGGTTCTCAACCTGTGGGTCGCAACCCCTTTGGCGGTCGGACGACCCTTTCACAGGGGTCGCCTAAGACCATCCTGCATATCAGATATTTACATTACGATTCATAACAGTAGCAACATTACAGTTATGAAGTAGCAACGAAAATAATTTTATGGTTGGGTCACAACATAAGGAACTGTATTTAAAGGGCCAGAAGGTTGAGAACCACTGCTCCAGAGAGAGACGTTTAAAAATAACGCCTAACACTGAAAAAATCTAGAAGCAGCAAAACACACATATTGTTAAACACAAGAAACTGGCTGAACACGTTTAAATGGTTCTCTTTTAGGGAATGAGATCTGGGGATAGGGTTCTATGAAATGCATATATATATTTATATACATATATATGTATTTATATATACAAAACCTGTTACTGTGTTGGACCATTAAACTGTGTTCATATACAGGATGGGGCAAAAAAGTAGATTTATATTTGTGAGTGCATGAAACAGTTCTTGTATTATTATTTTTATTATATTTATTTTTTGTTTTGTGTGTAAATTAAATATATTTTTTATTGATTTCAGAGACAAAGGGAGAGGGACAGGGAGATAGAAACATCAATGATGAGAGGGAATCATCAATCAGCTGCCTCCTGACACCCCATACTGGGAATCGAGCCGCAACATGGGCATGTGCCCCGACTGGAATTGAACTGTGACCTCCAGGTTCATAGGTTGATGCTCAACCACTGAGCCACGCGGCTGGGCTTATTATTTTGTAAAAATATATGTTGTTATTGATTTTAGAGAAAGGAAAGGGAGAGGACGAGAGAAATATCTATTGGCTGCCTCCTGCACGCACCCTATTGGGGATTGAACCCCCAACCTGGGCATGTGCCCTGACCGGGAATCGAACCGTGGCCTCCTGGAACCGTGACCTCTGGGAATCGAACCAGTGGGACTAGGCTCAACCAACTGAGCCACACTGGCCAGGGCTCTTGTATTATTATTTATTAATTATTACATTATTTTTCATAGGAACAACTGTAAACCTACTTTTGAGACTTGAAAGCTGGTCTCTAAGGTCCTGTTGAAATATAAAATCCTTTTTGTTGGAGGGTTAGTGAGGGGACAAGAACACAAAGGGGAAGCTGACAGCCTCTTTCTTAATTGGGTACTTAGTTACTTTTTGGTATATTTCTTTCTGGTCTTTCTAGATGTAGCATGTGTGTATTTGTTTACTGTGTGTTTTTTCCTAATTTGTTATTCTTTTTTTATAGGTTTTTATAAACTATTGTTTTTACATAATAATAAATTTTAGACATTTTTCCTTGTTCTGTATCCTTCTGCTCCATCATTTTATTTATTTAAATGTATCTTTATTGTTGAATGATTACAGATGTCCCTCCCCCACCTTTACCCCCTTCAACCCCCATGTTCTACCCCCCTGGCCTACCACACTATTGTCTCTGCTCCATCATTTTAAATCACATACGTTGTATAGTCCCCATTTCATGCACGTACCATATTTATTTAACATACGCCACATGGTTGGACATTTAGGTTATTCACGAATACTCATTCCTTTCTGGGTTTATCTAGATGGCCATATAAGCCAATTTTTCCAAAGTGTGTTTCTTCTACAGAACCTTTTTTTTCTTCTTTTTCATTGCAGTGGTCTCTGGTTCGTCGTCCAGCTCTAAGTATGACCCTGAGATCCTGAAAGCTGAAATTGCCACTGCAAAATCCCGGGTAGGGCCTCTTGGTCTGTGCTGTTGATGGGGGTCACGGAGGAGGCCCTAGGTTACTCCCGTGAAGTAGCTCCTGTCAAGATCTGCATTTAAAGATGAGCAAGCAGAGGCGTAGGGGGGACGTTATCTTGCTCAGGGCCACAGGGACGCAGGTATACTCCAGGGTTCGTGGTGTAGTGCGCTATCTTAGCTACTGCTAGCCCTACGTGATCCTATTTAACTACTTCGTGGTACCTTTTACTGATGAGGAAACTGAGGCCCAGCATGGTGCTCAAGGTAAAGCCAGTATTTTGATCACTGGTTTAATTCAGTTTCAGATAGGTTCTACAAACTCAGATGCCTGTAAGAAAACATAAAAGGGAGGAGATGCAGGGGGAGGCAGTAGGAAGCAGTGGGGACTGTGACCTAGAGAGGTGAGCCCTGTCTACCAGGGTAGCTGAATTTCAGCTCTAGCCTACTGTGGCCATGCAGGAATGTGGGCTCGGTGTTGGCAGATCTTCTAGTATTTTCAGAGAACTCTATATCTAGGCTTAGTATGTGAAATTTCTCAATATTTAATTATTAGCAACCAATTTTTTAAAACTTAATAACACTGCAGGCCAAACAAAAGCATTCCTGCTGGCCGGATCTGGCTCCCGGGCCAAGTCTCCCCCTGAAGTTATTGCAGTTCTTTTTCCATCCATGCACAGCACTCCCATGCCCAGGACCTGCTTTCAGTAACTCGCGGCTCTGGGAATTGCCATAATCCACCAGAACAGGAAAGGGAGGCTCAGAGAGGCGCCATGGCTTGAGAGAGGTCACCCAGCCAGGCAGGGGGAAGGCCAGGCCCTATCCCATCAGCCAGCTCCTGTCCACTTCCTGTTTCCCTGGAGCGAGGGCTGGCTGTGGATGACCTGCAGGGCAACCAAGCTGGGATGCCGACTGAATGGGCAGCTGCAGAGACCAAGGCAGCACTGGGGTATTGTGACCACTATGACCCAAGGGTTGTTGATCTGAGTCATTATATAGGGGCGGCAGGTAGGGAAGGGGGTCCTCTGGGCTTCCCTCAGGGAGAAGCAGCTTGCAGCTCCACATGGCCTCTGACCTAGCCGCATGTGTGGTCTTCCATCATCCAGGTCAACAAGCTGAAGAGGGAGATGGTTCACCTCCAGCAGGAGCTGCAGTTCAAAGAGCATGGCTTCCAGACCCTGCAGAAGTGAGTCCACCTGCCCTCTCGGGCTCCCCACGTGCTCCCCTCCTGCCCCCTTCTCTTCCCCTCCCCCCCTTCTCGAAATGTGGCTTTCTAATCACTGGATCTCAGTTCTTTCCACTGGCATCTACCGAACGTGCCATCACCAAGTTCGGGTTTTAGAGAGAAGCGGAATCATTTACGAGCACAGAGTTCGCACCGTCCCCTAAATTCCTGAAGCCGGCAAAGGTCCCTTCCTCCGTTCAGTTGAGGTTTATGAGCCAGTTGTAGAAAAAAGTGTTGAGCATTTCTGTGTCCCCGTCTCATCCTCTCCACCAGAATCCCACGTGCACAAAAACAAAACCAGCTCTTTTCTTTCCCCCACGGCCCCAAAAACGGAGCTTTGTCTGGTGGGCTCCACTGAGGGCACAAGCATCTTCCACAGTGAGTTATTGGAAGCACTACTGGATGCCATGCCCACTGTACTTTGGGGTGACTTGGGAATTTCCAGGGAACCTGGACCAAATGAATTCTTCACTTTTAGAAGCCATCTTGCAGCTAAGCAAGATAGAGCTCTGTTGGGGCTTTTTGAGCTCTGTTGGGGTTTTTGTCATTGTCGTGATTGTACCAAGAGCAGTTACCCTGTGCCTGGAGCACTTCCATGTTTCTGCATGGGTGACCTCGTGTTATCCTGGCTACCGCTCCGTAAGGAATGTTCTTTTAGCTCACTCCATCTTGTAGATGAGGAAACTGAGTCACTTAGTAGGTGCTCAATCAGTGTGAGTTTACTGTTACTATTAACCACGCGTATAACCCAGACTGAGGCATTGGGCACGCCCAGCATCTCCCATGGGCTCCTCGGGCGGTCATCCTAAAGGAGCCTGCTAGCTCTCTTGGAAGCTCCAGGGGGAACATTCAATAGCTTTCTCTGTGCTCACCGACATCTCACTCAGAATCCAGGGAAGTCACTCTGTCCAGACAGTGGCATCTGTGGTCACTTGCTCTCTCCCTGACTCATCCTCTGAACCTCAAGTCCACTCCCATCTATCTGTGGCCAGAGTGCCAGGCCTTTGGATTGGATAGCTCCCTCCAAGTCCTATTAGTCTCGGGAACTATGACCACCAGCTGAGGGACCTGATGGTCTTATTAACATCCCTCCCCACCACCCCCCGCTCACCGCCAAGCCCCCACTGCCTGGGGTGACTCACCATGAACCTTCTCCCCCCAACACAAGGTATTAGAAAGTATGGCTTAAAGGTTGTACACAAGACATTTTTTATATTATAAATTCTGGTTTTCTATATAAGTGCTTATGTAAATATGCTATTTATATATGCATACCTATGTATACCAATCCTGTCTCTCAAACCAGATTCTAATCTCTTTAAGATAAGGGACCTTGCCCTAGCTGGTTTAGCTCAGTTAAAGCATCGGCCCTTGGACTGAAGGATCACAGGTTTGATTCTGGTCAAGGGCGTGGGCCTCAGTTGCAAGCTTGATCCCCGGACCTGGCCAGGGCTCATGCAGGAGGCAGCCAATTGATGTCTCTCTTTCTCTCTGTCTCTCTCGCTCCCCTCCACTGTCTCTAAAAAAATCAATGGGAAAAATATCCTCGAGTGAGGATTAACAAGAACAAAAAAAAAGATAAGGGACTTTGTTTCTGCTTCTTGACAATCTTTAGTAGTGCCTCAGACAGTGGAGGGCAGTGATGTGAGCTTAGAAAATGCCTGTTTTTGACCTGCAGAGCAAGTAGCCTCCTCAGGCCTCCGCTTAGCAGTGGGGCAGCTTCTGAGCACACACCTTAGGGGCTCGTCCTCCCCCGCCTCCCCCTCCTGCGGTCCTCAGGAGCTTCTGGTGAGAACCCTTCCCATTATGCTCTGAGCCACCACAAACCTGTTTTACCACTTTGTCACCCTGTCGCAGCATTGAAAATTCTTGTCGTTTGGTAAGCTGAGCTGAAACCCCAAAGACAAGCCTCCTATTTTTTCCCTCTCCCTCCGCCCTCCTGATGTTTGATATCAGCCCTGATACGACTCCAGCGCAGCTCTGGCTGCCCACGCTCCAGCCGGAAGCCAGCTCCCCGTGTTCCGTGCCAGGAACATCTGCTTTAATGCACACCTTGGCTCAGAGGGGTAGGAATGCAGCCTCCAAAGGTGACGGCCCGGGTTCGAATCCCAGTTCCCTGGGAACTTGGGAAAGTGACATCATCCCTCTGTTAACTGTAAAGATGGAATTGGAAAATTCACGCCAAATGCGTGACAGTGCCTGGCATCCAGGGGTGGCCCAGTGAGTGTAAGGGGGTGGGTGACCGCTAGCGAGTCTCCTGCTTGAACTTGGGAAGGAACTCGGATGAACTGAAGGCTATGCCAGGATTATCACTGTGCCTCATTCTCCTCCTTCCATTGTCTTTAGGCCTGAAGAGAAGTTTTTGTTCTGCCTACTTTATAGATTAAGTACTGGGG